TCAATCGTTAACAAGAGATTAGGTGTTAAAACTTGGACAATATTTTTATTTAGATGAAACTATGGAAACCAACAATAAATGTTTTTGTATACGTATTACAGGCAAATAATTAATATTCCTCAAAAAATTGTACATGGCATGAATCGAGTATATGTTTTTATGTTAAATTATACGATCTTAACCTTTAAATTGTCGGTTATCCGGAATTTCAATAATTTTTTATAAGAAGCGGCAACAAGGTAAAAACATATCAACTCTGTCTGGAAAGTTGTAAATTAAATCAGATTTTATACTTCATTATGACGGTGTTTAAAAATCATTGTGGCGCGCGTTTCAAATTTGTTTGAATTTTTTGGATTTTTAAAAAATTCTTGCAGTAAAATTTAAATAGAAAAAAATTTAAAAAAATATTTTTAGTTTAGAGTTTGTGCTAGCTTTTAGAAAAAATATTTTGGAATTTCACTGAACACGCCCATTGCTGTCTACCAGAGCTAAAATTGGTAAATAGTCACATTCATTTATGGGCCCCAATTAGAGCCTTTGGCTTTGATTAAATGGTATGAGATCGCAATGTAGAAGTACTTCGACTACCTCCCTGCCAATGTGACTTTATTAGGCTGACATAAAGAGAAACGTGCGCGAAAAAGCAAAACAAATTATTTTATTTAAAAAAAAAAGGTAAAAAAAACCAAAAAATAAAGCATGCTTTTTATTTTACTTATTAAATCTTACTTTGTTTTTTTTATTATTATTACTTTCCTATCTGTATACAGATATAAGGAAAGTATAGGAATCATGATTTTTTTCGACTTCGAGTTTTCGACGGATTTTTACGTTTTGAGGTCCCCGATTATGTGTGAGCGCGTGCTTGCGTGCGTGCGTGCGTGCGTGCGTGCGTGCGTGCGTGCGTGCGTGCATGCGTGTGTGTGTGTGTGTGTGTGTGTGTGTGTGTGTGTGTGTGTGTGTGTGTGTGTGTGTGTGTGTGTGTGTGTGTGTGTGTGTGTGTGTGTGTGTATCTGTCGCATAACTCATGAACCGATACACAGAAAAACACCAAATTTTAAACTTAACAGAGTCGGAACATCTGGGGGTGTACTTTATGGGTGGTCATTTTTATATTTTATAGAATATATCTGTTATTTACGTTTGGAAAAGAAAATTTTTCAAATAAAAGTTACTTCTTATATAATTATCTATAATTTTTGCTCTATACAAAATTTTCCTAAAATGGTCCGTATTCGAGAAATTTGACAAAATGTAACAAAAATATTTTTTTATAAAAATTGTTTAAATAAAAGTTGTTTGTAATAAAATTCTCTATAATTTTTATTCTTTACATAATTTCTCTAAAATGGACCGTATTCGAGATATTTGAGAAAATGTGTAAATTTCTCATTTTGAAGAAAACTCAAATACGGATAAAGAAAAAAACATTAAATTTTAAACTTAAGGTTTATTTCGGCCTGACGTGAAATGATTAGATTTTGGACAAAGTCGGAACATTTGAGGGGGTACTTTATGGGAGGCCGTTTTTATATTTTATAGAATATATCTGTTATTTACGTTTGGAGAAGAAAATTGTTCAAATAAAAGTTACTTCTAATATTATTATCTATAATTTTTGTTTTATGTTAAAATTTCCTGAAATGGTCTGTATTCGAGAAATTTGACAAAATGTGCAAAATTCTGATTTTTATGAAAATTGTTGAACTAAAAGTTGTTTGCGATATCGATCTCTATAATTTTTGTTTATACACGATTTTTCTAAAATGGACCGTAATGGAAAAGTGCTAAATTTTAATTTTTCAGTATTTTCATTTATGGGCCCCAATTAGAGCCTTTGGCTTTGATTAAATGGTATGAGATCGCAATGTAGAAGTACTTCGACTACCTCCCTGCCAATGTGACTTTATTAGGCTGACATAAAGAGAATCGTGCGCGAAAAAGCAAAACAAATTATTTTATTTAAAAAAAAAAGGTAAAAAAAAACCAAAAAATAAAGCATGCTTTTTATTTTACTTATTAAATCTTACTTTGTTTTTTTTATTATTATTACTTTCCTATCTGTATACAGATACAGTATGTTGCTAATGTATGGAATAAATTCATTATTTCTAAAATAATCGACTTTTGAAAAAAATCCAAAAACAGGTCAATTTTAATTTTTGAATCGTCATCACATGATGTAGATGTAACGAACATTACGTCACCAGTATTACCGTGGTGACGTAATCAGCAATTTTTTTAAATGCAACCATGTGTCTCAAAACACCTCATTGGAAAGGTCTTCTAATCGTCTTTACAACGATGTAATTATTTGAATATTTATTTCTACAGGGTCGACCAAAACAGTTTTGGTGTGGGAGGCCGTTTTTATATTTTATGGAATATATCTGTTATTTATGTTTGGAGAAGAAAATTGTTCAAATAAAAGTTACTTCTAATATTATTATCTATAATTTTTGTTTTATGTTAAAATTTCCTGAAATGGTCTGTATTCGAGAAACTTGACAAAATGTGCAAAATTCTGATTTTTATGAAAATTGTTGAACTAAAAGTTGTTTGCGATATCGATCTCTATAATTTTTGTTTATACACGATTTTTCTAAAATGGACCGTAATGGAAAAGTGCTAAATTTTAATTTTTCAGTATTTTCGTTTTCAATGAATATTTATAGAAAAATGTTTCGAGGTAGATGTATGTGGACAATGTATATATTTAGTTTATCCTATAAAATGATCAAACATTTACAAAGGATGAACTTCGCCCATTATTTCTATATTTTGTTTTATTATAAAATAATTATATTTTGTTTTGTATTTTTATAGAAATAATAAAGACGTTATTATTATTATTATTATTATTATTTACAGAAATGCTGCAATAGGTTGTACAAAATACGGGAAAAATCCTATAATAACTAGATAGGAAAGTCATGTGTTGGACACATCAGATTTTTATTATTGTAAGCAGTAAAATATATTTATTTAGTACTTACGATAATTACTTAATCCACTCATAATGTAATCTGAACTTGATTTAATTACCTAACAAACACAATATCGTTATGTCTTTTATATTTAACAAACGTTTATTAACTGTTGTATATATCAAAAGGATTAAGATTAAACATTTAAAGAATTTCCATTAAAACTGGTTTAGGTAGGGAAATAATAACCACTATATTGTGCACCTGTGTTTATTTAATACTAAATAAAGCAGTGTCAAGTCAAGGATATATTATGAAACTTTCAAATCATTTTATCAGGCATTTTACTACACACTTTCTTTTCACCAGTCGCAGATGCTTGAAAGATGTCTCTAGGTATAACTAGAATAATGTAGGAAACTATTGAGAGTGTGTTACTTTAAAAAACTATTAGTTGTTTTAATCATCGATAGTTTAAACTCGCAAATTTTTAGTATTTTTCAAGTTTATTTTCATAGAATTCGATAGGAAAACACTAAAATTAAAAATAAACCAAATTTATAAAAACCCACTCAGCAATTCAAAACTATAGTACAATTTTAATTTGAGGGTGACTCTTCTGCGAATTGCATTGTAGTCGGCCGGCAATAACATGTGTCTCGCAGATGAGTCACCCTCAAATAAAAATCGTTTAAGTTTGGTCATAAATATGTTACGCGCGCTCTCTGTCTTCTCCTGTTTTTTTATGTACTCTGCTTACTGTTTGTTGTTTTTTTATACAATGTGGTCCAATGAAAAGTATCCACCCCCTCCTTTTCTTGGTTCCCTCAGATTCAAAGAAGAAATACTCGGACAATTTCTTATAAAATTACCTTTTCAAAAATGTGCCACACTTAGTACTTTCCCTATCTAAATTCTAGGGGTTGTTCACCCCACTGCTCGAGGATTAAAACGACAATGATGTTCCCCTCCAAATAAAAATCCACGTATCCGAGCATTTCTTCTTTAAATCTGAGGAAACCAAGAAAATAGGGGTGGATACTTTTTATTGGACCACACTGTATATTATATCTTCACATTATTATAATTTTTTTTATCCACCGCCAATTTATGGGCGAGGTGTCCAAGATCTCTAGAACCAGTGCCGGCGGAAAGAACATAATTAGATCGGGCAAGCACCTGGACTGACGCCCCTATAATTTAGGGTGACCATATCTTTTCCGACCCAACGCGACTGAATGTTTTTAGCTCCTTAACCGAAATTATTTTAGTTGACCCTTTTTTCAACTTTATTTTGAACTTTTTTTGATTCGTATCAGTCAATTTATTTAATAAATAATTTTGTTCATTCGTGTCTTGCGATAGACGCGCCCGGATCGCTCGGCCCTTTCGCCGGCTCTGTCTAGAACACTAGGTATATTCTAATATTAGTTTATGTTCAATTAACAAACTTACCGTGCTATAATTATATTAACAGGTTTGGAATTGTTTTTGTCCATTTTTGAATTCTTTTTACCCATTTTGCAAATTGTCTCTCGATACTTTTTCCACAAGGACATAATATATATCATCGAGCTGCGTGTTCGTGTTACTGTACCTTAATGTAGGTATTATTTATAACATTGTACAAAAAAATGGAAAATAGGTATTTGTGAATAGCTATTAGAAATAGGTCATTAAAATAACCTATTTTTATCATTTACCTAAATGAGACAATTATTTTTAACCTACAATAATTGTATGTATGAGGAATACATAGATAGTATTTTTAGTTTTCCTAGTCAATAATTGGAAAAGAGAAACAACCAAGAAGAACATAATAAACAATATTTTACAACTACTGTTACCGTTTAGAAATACCTAAGTACCTACGTAGTAGGTACTGATACAGTTAAAAGAACGTTTTAAAAAATATTTCCCACTTGGAAAATTCAATTTTTTCATTCATCATATGTTTTTTAATATCTGTCGGACACCAGACACCAAAGTAACTTATAATAACACCATGGCAATACATTTCTATCAAACAATTTCAATATGCGGGCTCTAATAACGCCACGAATTATGCAACACAACGTACACCCCAACCGACACGCTGTTATCGACCCATTTTCAGGCCGTCACAATGGAAAGGCCCTGAAAAATCGTTATCACCATACGTTCAGTGTCACTTCCTGTCAAAATTCCTTATTTCAAACACTGCAACATTCAATTTTGTAAATACATTATCGTGATTTATCGTAAAGTATGAATAGTAATGTAAATAGTGATGTAAATAGCGCAGAAATTAGTGAAACTATTCCAAACGATCTCGTAGAATCCCAAAATGACACGGAAAAAGATAAACAATCCGACGATATGGACACGGACAGCGTGTTGGATCCCAACATCGCGACAGATTGTTCTGAAAGCAGCAATGAAGACAGCGTATCGAACAGCGGCTCGACCGAGGGTAGTTTGACCGAGAAATTAAGGGAAACACTGGCATATCAACAAAATATATTAGAACAAAATTCCAATAAAATCAAATTGTTAGAATTGGATCAAGGGAAGCTACAGCAACTCGCCAAAGATCTGGAACTGAAGCTAGAAGTTGCTAATAGGAGGAAAGATGCAGCTCTTAAGGAGAAGGAGGCTATGGTTGTTAGGTATTTATAATTTGTTTACCTTTTAAATCAATTGAATTTAGCTATTAGTATACGAGGGATGGTCTAAATTTTATAAGTTATGAAGGTGTTTCAAAAATAAAGATTAATGTTTAAACATCGTAGGTATTATACAGGTGAAAATAAGGCAGTAAATTTCTATAAATATGTATCCAAAAATGTCCCTTTAAAGGTAGATATTGCAAAGACGCCCTTTTCTTAAACATACAATTTTTTTACAAATCTTACATTTTAGGCTTTATAAAGGAGAGTATTTTTCAAATATTCCACAGGAATCCCCATGAATTAACGTTTTTTAAAATAAAATACATACATTTATGTAAACTTATTCATTAGAATTTAGAATTATCTGTCATACTTTATCAATATAAATATGCGCGGTGTTGCCAAGTGTCCAATTAAAATCACCGAAAAAGAAACATAAAAAAAGGATCTTATTTCTATGCACATCTGTCAATTTATTTATCCAATTTGATTGAAGTGTTAGTAAATAATTATTACTTTGTATTATCCAAAAGTTTGAAACAAGTATATTTATTTGTTTGACAAATGACGACAGCCAGCCAAATTTAAAGACTACTATCAACAAAAGGATAGCTGAATTAGTTCAATTTGTGTTGGGTTAACTCTGACGTCACTCAGTGGATATCTATTTTTAAAATCATCCCGTTTAAAACGTACATTGATACATTCTTTTTTAAAGTACGACGTTTAACATTTTTTATTTTATAAAATATTTAAAAGATCATTTTGACCCAGAAAGATAATTAAAAACATTTAAAAATTATAGGTTTACATAAATAGAAGTAGTAGGTAATAAATTTAAATATTATGGCCATGTTATCTGAATATTTTTTTTAAAATGTTAAGGTATCAGTCGAAAATTATACACAAAAAGTAAAGTAACATAATAATATTTGTATTCAGTATAGGTTTACAAAACAGTGCTGAACAAAATTTTATGAAGTAAATAAAAATAAAATAAAAATAATTTTATTGCCTAACAGATTAATGGATTTACAGGACAAAATACATGATATAAATGTCAAATATAATATTTTGACAGAAAATAATTTTAGCAACTAACAGCAAGAAAAAAATGGAAGAATCCTAAATACATTAGCTACAAATTAGTACAATTAATGGTATTTAATATGAAATAAATGCAGTTAATAAGAAACATACTGGGTTGACCATTACTCCAAAATTACGCAATATATTTTTTTAAATAATTTTTCGTATTCTATTAAATTGAAAATAAAATTGTTAAAACCGCATTGTGCCAACTTTATTAGCTCGAATAGATTTTGGAATAATGGTACGCCTGGTATACTTCTAATCGACATACTGATAATTTGATTTATTTAAAATACTTTTAGTAAACCTATCAGAATTAAAAAAAAAATTAAAAGTTCTTTGACAAACCTACACCATAAAAGCAAGCTCGTCCTCCCACGTCCTAACTACCTTAGAAGCAAGCGCGTTTGGTTAATGTTTCGAAATTCGGCTGTTCTCTTTTTATACCTTAACCTTAAGAGCATGCACGCGTCGCTCGTCCCAACCGTCTGGTAACCACTACAGAAGCAAGCGAGCGAAGCGAGCGCGCCCAGTCGACGTTTCAAAATTCGAGCGAATTTCGAAACGTCGGTCGGACGCATCCTTTTTATACCCACACTTTAAGAGCACGAAACACTCATCCCATCCAGTTTTTAACCATTACAGAAGAAAGCGAGCGAAGCGAGAGCGCCCGGCCAACATTTCGAAATTCGCGCGCCGAAACCTCTATCGGGCGCGTTCTTTTTCCATCTACACCATAAGAGAACACTACGCTCATCTCGTGTGCGTCCTGACAAGTACATGAAAGAGAAGTGAAACGAACACACATCCGCTGTGCTCTGTAGTAGTGTTGCCAAACCGAAAATGTAAAATTTCCCATAACTTAATCCCAAAATTCCTCCTTTATCCAACCACGGTGTTAACAATTATCCACTTTTTCCTCCATACTAATATAACTATGATCCGGAAAAGCGATCTAGTTGATAAAAATTAAAATAAATTTAAATCTATCAGTTGTCAATTCACGGTCAACTAGGAATATAAAAATAAATATCCTCCTTTCGCTGTCAACTGTCAATTTGTCCAATCTGACATGAGAATTGAATTCAGCGACCTCAAAAACCCAAACTCTCAATGTGAAAAGAGGATATTTACTTTTATATTCCTCGTTGACCGTGAATTGACAGCTGTCGACGGTCAATTTGTCCAATCTGACATGAGGATTGAATCCAGTGACCTCAAAAACATTACCCTATATATTAGAATAATTAAAATATGCTTTTGACATCTGTAAATAGTATTGAAAATGAATAGTTTTGCAACGGATCAGGGGAGCTTTGGCAGCTCCGTAGCTGCCAAAATATTAATTTTGGCACTTTGTGCCCATGGAGACTTTTGTTCAGGATGACAAAATCTACAACCCAATTTCCATAAGATTATTGCGGGGTTCTTTATGTTGACGCCGTCGTAATGTTAGACAGATTGCCAAAATAATAATTTACAGTTTTCTTTTTTAGTTTATTAGTTGTTATGCAAACTTATAGATGGCGCAAAGATTTCCAACGACCTTGCAACTTCAAGATGTCTTCCGGTAAAATCATCTATTATCTAAATGTTGAAAATTATTTTTAATCTCTGCTCTTTTCCTTTTGATATGATGCAAATGCCTTTTTAGGCATTAGCCAAAGAAGTAGTTGGTTTTAGAAGTAAAACGGTCGCTTAACTTTGCTTTGACACGGACTTTGAGATTTTTTGCCTCACTATGTCAAGTGCTTTATTTTTATAAGCCATATATCCATCATTAAAAATTAGTTAATAAAACGAATCCAATCATCAAATACTATCAAATCACAAAAACATGTCATTATGGCCAAATATAAAACATGTCTTATGTCAAAACATAAAACATGTCATAATGTCATGGTCAGGTCTTGATTAACACATCACTAACCATAAGTAATAAATAAATATTATCTATTTATTAAAACGACGAAATCTAAGATTAATTTGTGCTTAAGTCATTATGGGAACAAATTCCCCAAAAATATTGTATCCACCCAAAATTCCCACCAGAGTCAAAATTTCCATCCAATGGAGAAATTTCCACCCAAACGGCAACACGGCTGTAATAACACATTCCATGCTTGTGCATGCGCAGATGATATTACGAGAATATAATGGATTATGTGTTATGAGAGACATTTCATTTCAATTGTAAAGATCATTTGATACATTGGTAATAATATTTTCCTACGACCACTTAGGAAAATGACATATCACACTATGTAGTCCTATGGAAAGTGCCCTATATCACACGCGTATAAATAAGAATTTACTTTCCACCCGTGTGCGAATATGCTACTTCCACATCAGCTGTCACAAAATGCCAAACGCATCATTTTTATTTTGATCTATGTAATGTATATATTAATACTAAAATCGATGATTGTTAAATTATTGAAATTGTTGTAAATTAGATCTTAGATATTTATCTTTAACAATTATTATTAAAATAATTTTAAAATAACTAAGTTATGTTTTTTGATGAAATTATTTTGTGGTCGTAGGAAAAATATTGTACATCACTTGTGTGAAAAGTGATTTTCCACACTAGTGTGATAGTTGGATAATACAAAATAATTTTGTTTAGAAGTTTTCGAAAAGTACATTATTTATTACTTTATTGATGATGTACTATTAATATTTAATTATTATGTACTACAACAATTCAGTCAAAATAAATAAATAAATTGTCAGATGTAACTGGAAATAAATTAATAGAAGTGCTTTTGGAAGTGTATGAAGTTAAGGTACATTTTTTTTATATTTCTTTTTCGTTAATTTTGATTGAACACTTGGCAACACCGCGCATATTTGAATTGACCGAGCATGACAGATATAATTCTAAATTCTAATGAATAAGTTTACACAAATAATCACTCATAAGCCTTAAATATGGAATTAAAAAAAAAAGGTTAATTTATGGGGTTTCCGGTAGTATATTTAAACTATATTCTTCTTCCTAAAGCCTAAAATGTAAATTTTGTACGAAAATATGTATTTTTAAGAAAAGGGCGTCTTCGAAATATTTACCGAATTTAGTTATTAGTATACGAGGGATAATCTAAATTTTTTAAGTTATATAAGATGTTCCAAAAATAAAGATTAGTATTTAAACATCGTAATATACAGTAGAAAAAAAGTATTCAGCCCAAAGGATCATGCCGCTTTATGTCAAAACGTTAATAAATATTTACCGCTGAAAACGAATGTATTTTTTATCTTTCATAACATTGGTACTTGTATTACTTATAAGTACATACAATTTTTCAAGATACATCGTGGCATTTTGAACTTGAAATTGAATAACTAGAACACTTTAAATTGCTAAAACACAATTTCAGGTATCTCGAATACTGACGTGATACCAAAATTGTCTACTACCCTAACCATATTTATTTTTTAGTACTTTAACTAACCTACCAATGTGACTACCTTCGTTTGAAACACCATGTATGTTAAAAACTTTTTGTCTTAATTTCACCTATACAATAATGGTCTATTTACCTTTAATATTTACCATTAATTTGAGACATGTTGTTCAGTTTCTTTTTAAATCAAAGATCGTTTTCCGCTTTTGTATTATATTAAATCTTTTCATTGTTATTCATGGATAATTACAAATTTTAATCAACTAAAGGGTGGGTATCTATTGAGCTATAAGACAAATGTCAGCAAGAAAGAAAAAGATGCAAGCTAAACAAATCAACTAATCACAAAATTGATGAATTTGTATTTTATTTAGCATCTTTTCTGTATTTACTGTCATTCAAAAAGTATACCTAAATATTAAATATAAAAAGATTAAATGAATTATCCAAAAATCAAGGCTCGTTTTAAATAAAAACTGAACGCCATATAAAATCACGAAATGTACACATTTGTAAATTTCTTTTCTAGGTATGCCGTATCCGAAAAAAACATCCTCAAAGAACAAAAGCAAAAAGAATCAATAGACAAGAAGTTGACCGAAACGCAAAAAGAACTCGAAATCTTACAACACCGTATCCAAACTCTGAACTCAGAAAAATCCCGAATATGTCAAATGCTGGACAATAAACATTACGAGAACAAGCTACTCCAACAGGAATTGGAGCAAAAGAAACAGGACCTAGCCGCGCTGGAGAACAAATTGAAATGGTCCCAAAACAATTTGAAGACAGAAATCGAAAACCATAGAGACACACAAGCGAAATTAGAACTATTAACTACAAAACATCAAGAACTAACTAATAACATTGATAATATTAGGAAAGAAGCTGACGATGCCGTTAAATCATTTCACACTTCCGAAGACAACAGAGCTTTCGTATTGGACAAACAAGTTAAAGAACAACAAGCTTCGTTAATACTGCTAAAGCACGAGAAAAACCACAGAGACGAACAAATGAACTTATTGCAAAAAGAAGTAAAACGTTTGCAATCCAAACAAAAAGAAATGTTACAAGAAAACAACGCTCTATCACTGAAAGTGCAGCATTTAGAAAAAGACAGATCAGAAAACGAATCGAAGCTGAGCGAACTAAGAGGCTGCGCCGATCAGCAACGCCAAGACGTCGTTCACTTACAAGCCAAATCAGTACAGCTGGAACAACTGAAATCCCAATTAAAACACGAACAAGACCAGTTAGCGGCTTCCAACGAGCAAATGACCTTGTTGAAGCAAAGAAACTTGGAATTGGAAGCCGACATGGAGACCTGTAGGGTGCGCGAAGCTGAATTGTTACTATTCACGCAGCAGTTAACCGAGAAGAACGTCAGACTTCAATCGGAATTCACTTCGATGGAAACCAGAGTACAACAATTGAGTTGCGAGCAAACTTTACTGAAGAGGCAAGTTAAGGAGCACGAAACCCGAGCTAACTGTCTTTCTACGCAATTAAATCAAGAACGTATTAAATATAAAGCCGATCATGAGGATTTGAACAAAAGATTGAAGGAAGTGACGAAATTATGCGAGGAATTCAAACAGGAAGCGAGCGATCAGAAATCCGAGAACGTTTTAATTAAACGAAAGTTTGATATGTCTTTAAGAGAGGTGAATAGGGAATTACAGCATTGCCACAAGAAAATGGAGGTATTGGACAAATCCAGTACGACCAGTACTAGTAGTTCAAATTCTTCTCTATCCGATCGACCCGTAGATAGGCCCAATAATCCCGAAATCGATCAACAGACTTTGATCGAGCACATAGTGAAATTGCAGAAGATCAGCGCTAAGAAATCGGAAAAGATCGATTTTTTGGAGGAGCACGTGAACACTTTGGTTATCGAGTTGCAGAAAAAGTCGAAATTGTTGCAGAGTTTCGTGTCTAGGGAGCAAAAGTTGAATCCCGGCAAGAAGGATAGGAAAGATAGTATTAAAGTTGGTTAGGGGCGGGTTTAAAAAATTGTTATTGTTAAGCGAATTGATTATATATTTTATTTTTGTTCGTTGTGACTGAAATATGTACCTTATATTATTGAATTATATCAGCTAGTGGATGAAATACAGGTTATTCTAAAGGTTGTTTTTTATTTCAATACACTAAAATATTACAAAGAGTTTTAATAACTAATTTCTAATGTCACAAAAAGTGACAAATTTACTTTGTTTTCACAGCCTACTAATTAAAAGGTTTTAAAAATTGAAACATACTGTAAATTAATAGAATTTTTTAAATAAAAATAAATCTGTAAAAGATAAATAAGTATCAATATATTTTTATTATATCAATAGAAAGGTAATCGAATTCTGCATGTAATGAAATGAAAAAATTTGGTAGTCCCATTTAAAATAATCAAGTTATCTTGGATTGAAATTTTGTAAATTGGCGTAGCGATTACTTTAAACACGAAAAGGGTTTGATTTTGACCGTCTGGCAAATGTTAGTACATTTCATGCTTAGTAACACTGTAGAGTCACGGCCTTCTAAGTTTTATAATAACTGCGATATTCAATTTTTACTAGACATCTACTTTTTGAAAAAATAGTAAATTTCTGCTTAACGACTCATTTTAGATACCATGTGTGATACATAAAGTCACACTAAAATTGACCGAGTAATCCAAATATGCAATAATATACAGGGGGTTCCTATTAAAAAAACATAACTTTGATATAAATCACCCTGTATAACAATTGGAATTTCATCGAAAATATTTTTAAGTTGTAGCCTTAGAGATCCTATGCCATCCCCCAAAAATGAATTTTAAAAATGTACCTTAATAAACCCACAATCTTCCATCCACGCACTAATGGCTCACCCTGTATAGGAGAATACATTCAATAAAATAACTAATAATTAAAAACAAAAGTAATATTCCACGATTGTAGTTCATATCATTTTCATTTTTTAAACAACACATACTGTTCAAATACAGAATACATGACAATCGATTTAAGAATTTTCATCAGTGTAATCCATTAAGACCATAAAGGTTGAGCACGGATGACTTCAAAATCTGTAAAAGGTCTTTACAAAAACATACCACATATTCCTTAGACCAAAATAAGTCGATTTAAGTAAAATTACCTTCGTACAAAGTTGCTTCGTTTGGGCTCCAGAGGGCCTTGAAGTTACAATTTTTAAATCGTTTTTCCCATATAAATTTAAAACGACATATGCGATTTTGCTGAGAGAGAGAGAGAGAGAGAGAGAGAGAGATATGCTTTATTGTCGTAAAAAAATTTACAAAAATTTTATAGACAAAGCGTGTAACTTAAATACTAAACATATTATAAAAATATAAAAATAACTAAACAGCAGAAAAAACAAACAGACAAAATAGGAATAACAATTGCAATGGATATGCAATATCCGTCATTATAATTATTCTAATTTAATTTTTAAATTTAAATTTAAACTTTAATATTTAATTATTTAATTAATGCCATTGTATGTGGAACTCAAATGTCTAAGGTACGTTATAAAATTCTGCTACTGTGTAATATGGTCTTTCTAGAAGAAAAGCTTTAGCCAGTCTTCGGAACTTATCGTATGTATTTATAGATTTTAATTGCATCGGAAGGTTATTATACAATTTTTTGGCATTGTAGGTAATGGAATGTTTTAATAGGTCAGAAGTGGGCATTGTTAAATAAACATCAGTCTCTAAATTTCTTGTAGGATATCTACGAGTCGGTCTTTCGGATAAATTTTGAATGTGCTTGCGAACTAAGCAGACGGATTCGAAAATAAATAGAGCAGGAAGGGTTAGAATTTTGAAATTTTTGAAGTAATTTTCGCAATGTGTCCTACTACTTAAACCAAATACATAGCGGATTGCTCTTTTTTGCAGTTTAAAAATAGATTCGAAAAGGTATAAGCTACAAGAACCCCAGAAAGGTAAACCATAGCGAAGGTGAGATTCGAATAAGGAAAAGTAGGTTATTAATGCAGTAGGAGTCAGCTCTTTAGAAACCGATTTAATGGCAAAACATGCGGAGGATAATTTTTTTGCTAAGGTATCTATATGAGCAGACCATTTTAGAGAATCGTCTATATAAAGACCTAAAAACTTGATTGAAGTCACCGTTTGGATCAGATTATTGTTTAAAGTTATAGGTTGTAAAGTACCTCTGTAAGACAATGCTACAGTTTTACTGGTGTTGAAACAAAGTCCATTCGAATCAGACCAGGACTTAATAGTCACTAGATCCTCACTTATGATAGATTGTAATGTCTGCATGTTAGAATTATTCCAGGTTACACTGGTGTCATCAGCAAATAAAGTAATTCTACCACTTATTCTTAAGTCTATGATGTCGTTGATGAATAATAAAAACAAAATTGGACCTAATACTGATCCTTGAGGTACTCCACTGCTTATTGCTAGATTTGTAGAATCCTCACCATTCGCCCGCACCTGTTGATTTCTATTTTCTAGGTAAGTTTTAAACCATTGTAAAGGAGAACCCCGTATGCCATAAATTTGTAACTTATTAATTAAAATATCATGATTTACACAATCGAAGGCCTTTGCGAAGTCACAAAATACTGAAGCGGTGATGTGTATATTTCATTAAGAACGGAAAACATTGCGTCGCTAGTGCATTTTTTAGGTAGAAAGCCATACTGATGAGCTGTGAGGATGTTATGCTTGAAAAGAAAGGACAAAAGACGGTTTTTCATTAGCCGTTCTACTATCTTCGATAAGGTAGGCAATAACGCGATAGGTCTATAGTTACAGGTTTTGGTTTTGTCGCCACCTTTATGAAGTGGGATTATTATAGCTGCTTTTAGACAGTTAGGAAAGAGACCAATTTCAAAGGATTCATTAATCAGTGAAGTTAAAATGTTGATTACTACATCCGGTATATTTAGAAATTTGGTATATTGGTATATTGGTAGAGTTTTATGTGGCAAAAAAAATGGTATTAAAATTTTGTCTGATAATACATAGGCGTAGAACTTGATTTTTTAAATAATTGCACCTTTAAAAATTCTACGCCAATGAAAGAAAAAGAGTTTGAGTATGAAATTTAGATTGCGCAACTCATTTACTTTAAAAAAGGTACTCTTGATAAGACTCGATTACTTTCATGGTTTTGACGAAATTTGCATTTTAATAATTTTAGAACATAAACAATAATTATTAAAATACAAACTTTGTAAAAACCATGAGAGTAAATCGAGTGTTATCAAGGGTACTTTTTTGTAGTAAATGAGTACCCAATCCAAATTTCATACTCAAACCCCTTTTTTGCCATTGGCGTAGAATTTTTAAAGGTGCTATTATTTAAAAAATCAAGTCTATGTATTATTATCGGACAAAATTTTATACGATGAAAAACACAAAAATGTCCTTTTTTCATATTTTCTTCTCGAGACTTTTAACAAAAATACTCGATTCTTGCCATGTACGATTTTTTGAGGAATATTAATTATTTGCCTGCAATACGTATATAAAAACATTTATTGTTGGTTTCCATAGTTTCATCTAAATAAAAATATTGTCAAGTTTTAACAACTAATCTCTTGTTAACAATTGAAAGTGTTCTATCTGACTCAATAATTAAAAAAACAAATGCGTGGTTTATTAATATGGCTGTACAATATACCAATGCAGAATATACCGATATGTTACTGACATTAGGATTTTGTGAAGGAAATGCTCGAGAGAGTGTCAGGATGTACTCTGAAAGGTTTCCAAATCGTCGTGTACCTAGCCACCCAACTTTTGCTGCTGTTGAGAGACGTCTTCGGGAGACCGGTTCCTTTGCTCCCAACACTGTTGATAATGGCAGAGAACGTTTTGTAAGGATTCCTGAAGCTGAAGAAGACATTTAGAACGTGTTGAAGAAGATCCAGAATTAAGCACCAGACGAATTGGAAGGGAACTAGGAGTAAGTAAAGATGTCGTTCATAAAGTGCTTAGAGAACAATTGCTATATCCATACCATAAGAAGCCAGTACAAGAATTATTAGTCCATGATCCTCAAATTCGTTTGGGTTTTTGTCGATTTGTTAATATGCAAAGAGAAAGAGATCCAAACTTTGTCAAGAAGGTTCTCTTTACCGATGAAGCGGGTTTTACAAGCAGAGGTATAACTAATACCCATAATGAACATGTTTATGCCGTTGAAAATCCGCATGCAATAAAGGTAAACCATTTTCAGCACGAATTCAAAATTAATGTGTGGGCTGGAATAATTGGTAATTTCATTGTTGGTCCTGTCATATTTCCACGAAGATTAACTGGAGAAAATTATTTAGATTTTCTACAAAATACGTTGCCAGAATTGTTAGAAGATTTACCTCTCCAACTTTGGAGAGATATGTGGTTTATGCAAGATGGAGCTCCACCACATTTTTCTTTAAACGTTAGAAACCACTTGAATGAACAATATTCACACAAATGGATAGGCAGAGGTAATGAAGCACCTGCAAACTGGCCACCACGTTCCCCAGACCTAACACCGATGGATTACTTTTTATGGGGACATCTGAAATCTACAGTTTATAGGGAACCTGTAGAAAATGAGGAACAACTCTGGCAACGTATTCAAGATGCAATAAGCAATCTTAGAGGTGATGAAGAAGTTATGAAAAGGATACATTTTAATTTTCTTCGACGTATAAATCTTTGTATGCGTGAAAATGGTGAACATTTTAAACAATTTTTGTAAAATCTCTATTTTGATTATGTTGTAAATAAATATTTTTGTGAATCCTATACACTCTAAATTATTAAAACAGAAATTTATCGAAAACCATGAGAGTAATCAAGTCTTATCAAGAGTACTTTTTTAAAGTAAATGAGTTGCGCAATCTAAATTTCATACTCAAACTCCTTTTCTTCCATTGACGTAGAATTTTTAAAGGTGCAATTATTTAAAAAATCAAGTTCTACGCCTATGTATTATTATCGGACAAAATTTTAATACCATTTTTTTGCCACATAAAACTCTACCAATATACCAAATTTTAGCAAAATCGCATATGCCGTTTTAAATTTATATGGGAAAAACGATTTAAAAATTGTAAATTCAAGGTCCTCTGGAGCCCAAACGAAGCAACTTTGTATTAAGGTAATTTTACTTAAATCGACTTATTTTGGTCTAAGGAATATGTGGTATGTTTTTGTAAAGACCTTTTACAGACACCCTGTATAATACAATAAAATATACAATTTTTTCTACGCTAGACTTAAATCTATTTTACATAAGTTTCTGTGTTTCTTTAGTTTTTTACATTTATTTTATTTTGATTTTAAAAAGTTTATTTTTTTAACAAGATTTATTTTGTTTTTTTTTTTACTCATTTTCAATTATTTTATCTATTTCTTTATATCCTAATGTTTTCATATAAGTTTTAAAAGTCGATTTTAGGATATTAGTTGAGTTAAGTGTTCTTATATAAATTTTATACATATCAGGTAGGAAGTTAAACAAGCGGGATGCTGCAAAATCGAAATATCTTATACCTATGGTTTTTTTTAGCAGTATTTGTTTGTATATAATCTTTTGTTTTAGTTCTAGTATGATAATGATGGCCAGGTGTTTGCAGGTAAGTGCGGTTTTGAAATAAATGAATGATTAGACTAAAAAGATATATCTTCTTTAAAAAGTAGATTAGTATTAAATCTTAGATTTTTAAAATACATAACTTTGTTGAACGACCCCTATTTAGGTTTTTTTGCAATTTTAGGGGTGGTTGAACCATTGCTGCAAGTTTTAACCCCGATTTTCGTAATCAGCGCCCCAAAAAACATATAAGATTGCTTAGTTTACAAAACAACAAATACAGTCAAAAAACACCCCTATCTAGGGTTTTTTTTGCAATTTAAGGGGTGTTCCAACCATTGCTGCCAGTTTTAACCTTCATTTTCATAATCAGCGCCCCAAAATACGTAGGGGACAAGTGGTCTCGTCAAGTGCGGCGTTTCTCGACCTTTTACCGTTATTTTAAATGGACTAATAGGTATATCGGTTCAATAATAATTAATACAGTGTTTCAACCACTGATCTTTATTATTTTACTGGATAGGATATAGCCCTCTAAAAAACGTTCCGAAAAATTGGCCGATTTGGGCAAATAATATGGCGGACCGGATGTTATTTAACATATCCTCTATTTCCAGTTGTCATCACATTTGTCATTTAATTGTGTCAACAAGTTACGATGAGATTTTTTTTTATTTATTTAGGTAGTATCGAATAGCATTACTATGATATAAACAATAAACGTTCATTCGTGAAGACACAATATGCTTCACGTTTCCATTTTTATATTTTCTTTCATAAAAAAAATCAAATTATGGGTGAATTGTCCCGAAGGACATTGCCTGCAAAAGGAATAGAAGAAGAATAAGAAGAAAAACTAATCAAATTATAGGTTAGGTACGTCAAATTATCCCAAAATTCAGTTATGTGATCCCACCATAATTTGCCCAAATCGGCCAGCAGTGTTGCACTTCCGGTCTCCTTGGTGGAACGGATGTTTAGTGTGTTAAATATAGCCTATATCCTATCCAGTAAAATAATACAGATCAGTGGTTTCAACCAAAAAAAATTGCATTTTCAACAAATTAAAAATTGGCCCCCTTGAGGAGCTCCGTATTTGTCCTAAGTTGTCAAAGTTATCTACCTACCATAAAATTTAAAATGCACTATAAAACAACTTTTATTAAAAAAATATTTTTTAATATTTTCGACATTAGACATATTTGAACTACCCTGTATACATTATAACTAATGCCGCGTTTGAGAATCCACATCGGATGTAGTAAATCTTTCATCACGTGATTCAGTATAGGTAAATGTAATTGGACAGATGTGTCCGATGTGGATAAACAAACGCTCGAGATGTAAAAAATGCATCGGATGTGGATTTTCAAACCCGGCATATAAAAACAAAACACAACCAACAAATAGAGATTTCTTTTCTTTTGACTCTGACTGTTTTGTTTTAAACATTTAAAATAGGTTATAAACTTACCGCACAAAAGAAGAAAATCCAATAAAGCAAACCTCTGAAATTTTAATTAATACTGATGTAACTGATAACTCGATGATTTTTAAGTTAGTTCTATTTCATTATCTATAATTTGAATTATCTTTAACTTATGTTATTTTGTCCGATTTTAACCTTGTAAAAAATAATGACAATATTAATCATTTGTCGATAGGCAACACGTTTATCACAAATTTATATAATTGGTTGCATACCTACATGGCGTAGCGTTATGGTATTTTAATAAAATCGTATTTATCTGAGGTTTAAGGCCAAGTTCAATGACAAGTGACGGCGACTTTTTTATCACAAGAAATACAGCTCTGAACGATAATATTTTTAAAAACTGTTTTCATAAATGGGTTAAAAAAACTGTAAAAAATGATGGAAAGTCTATGGTTTGTTTTACTTTTAATGCAAAATATTTTAATAAGTGATATTTAACAAATATTTAAAAGTTATGGACTTTCCATCATTTTTTATAGTATTTAGAAGTTAAAACGCAACATACATTCTTTTATTTTTGCCTAATTATTTCAGGATTCTTGTGATAAGATTTAAAAATGTAGGGCCCATAAGATGCTGCCATTTGAACAGACGGAATAGACACTAAAAATTGAAAAATTGCAACATCGCTCCCTATGCAGATGAATGTAAAATGGCTTAGCCCAATTTATTACAAAAAACTGGAGTAAAGGGTAAAATTATCTCTTGTCCAGTACACTCGTATAATACACTTGAGTATTGCCTATATTATTTTTGATTGAGACGTATACATACATTTAAAAATGTCGTTTACTTAAAAATAAACATTTAATTTTGATATTTTATTTAACTCGATCAAAACATTAAATTATTATTTTCCATGGCTTATACCGGACCTGTATGTACTCTAGTAGCCATGGAGTAGCTGACAGTGTTGCCGTCAGTTGCCGCCACATATTCATTAGTGACATACGTTTTATAAATTCATCGTGTTACAAATTTGTTGACATAAAGAGATAGAAATTTAAAGTGACGTCTTTTATTACTTCGAATGAAAAAAATCGATAATGCAATTTTCTAACCTAAAAAAAATCGTGATGATATGTCAAACAAAATTGAACTTGGCCTAAACAGCAACAAAAATATATTCTCTTCCAGAATTTTAATTCCGTAATTATTCTGTCAAACAATTAAAATTATTTTTCATAATTTTATTACACGTATTTCCATTATGAAAAATTGCCGATTTAAAATTATTAAATACATAATAAAAATGCATTAATTAAAATTATGAAATACTTACATAGGTAATAGAAATTCATAATTGTAGTTAACCCTTAATACATAATGGAAATTGAATTTCTATTATGTACCTTTTTCATAATTTTAATTCTTGAATTTCAATTATGTTTTTCATAATGGGAATACGTTTATCATTGTCATGAAAAACATAATGGAAATTCATGAATTAAAATTATGAAATACATCATAGAAATTGAATTTCTATGTCCCAAAAATTTTCGGACACCCTGTATTTATTACATTGGTTTTTACCTCATGCAAGAAAATTATTCAATATAAACGGAAAATGTTCAATAAATTTCAAATTTCAAGATACGAAGACTCAATACAGGTTTCTGTTCATTTGCCGTTTTAAATTGCACTTGTACGTCCTAGATGGCAATACCATTTCAAATGAGCAAATTAAAGACAAAATAGATTAGTACAATCGTTGTATGAATAAATATAGTAGGGTAACCTTATGGACTTATCATTGGAGGACGATGGACATAGAATGTAGATGGCGATACTGTACTTATGTCCAAGTCAGGTCTTTAGGTCATGTCTGTGCTTGAGTATGAATTATAATTTAAAATCTTCTTTTTCATTTCTACTTGTCTTCGGTAATGTATTTTTATAGTTACAATTTACTATTTCAAATTATTACAAAAGCACAGAATACAGGGTATTTGAAGGTCACATAAAATGCGAAAATAATCGATATAATAAAATAAACCAGTTTTTGTTTGAAAAAGATTCAATTAGTTGAGATTGGGTGGAATTTTACTATAATAGGGAACATTTTTTTCTATATTGTGGTTGGATTTTGGATATATCGCTGATGGTTAATTAAACTTGAGTTGTACGATGTTAATTTATATTCACTTTTATTTAATGGTATCATCAAATTAAGAATAGGACATGAACAACTGAATATTATTGTTCAAAATGAGACGAATAGACGAAAATAAAAATTGTTTGGATAAAATTTTCTCAAAAACAGGATGTTAAGTTGAAAATTAAAAAAGTAATAATGGGTAAATACCTATATAGGTAGTTATAATTTTATTATTCAATATAATTTTACTAAAATCGGCACTGACAAAATTTAACTAACAGATTTTTTTGCTGTTAGGTAAACTTATAACATAATACCAAACACGTTTAGTGAAATTATACTAAGTAATAAAAACATGTAAGCCACTAATTTTCAGTTTTCAACTTTTGACACCATTTAAAAACGAATCGAGTACCAATTTATGGTAGGCACATTTAGGAGTATTATTTTCGAAAGGCAAAATTAAAAATTTTTCATTGTTTTTTTTTGTACATGGAAATACTTTGCTGCATGTCTGCTGCATGTCCTACAATGATGAAGCTCTCAACGAAGGCGTCTTAAAAAATAAATTATAGAAAATGCGAATGTTACATATTTGATTAGATAATTAACATTGACATAAACTTTCATTGCTCAGGACGTTTAGTGCTCAACTTTGGGTTTCGTAAAGATCAGTTACTGACTACTACTATTTTTTTCTGAACTGTATACTACAAAATTTAGCAGAAAGATTGCATTAATTATATTTTTCATATTTTTTCCAAAATAAGAAAGAATGTTTTTATATGTAATTGAATCTGGGTTGGGAAATCCAAACTTGAATGCTTAACGACTTAAGTCTTGAAGGCACTTATATCAAGTTAATTATCTAATCAAATATGTGACGTGGCTTTTTAAAATACCATCATTGTGCGCTCCACAGCGTGTCCATCTTCTACAAGAGAAAAAAGAAGGAAACATTTGTAAAGTTGCCTTGTACAAATGTGTACCAAAAGAGGGCAACTGGCTCTCGTAAGCCTTTTTTGTTTAATCGTCTCATTATTTTAACACTAAGCGCCAGCATGGGAAATATATGTTAAAGTTAGTTTTAAGAACTTTTAACATTCAAATGAACAAAAACAATTTATAAATCTATTATTAAAATCCGTGTTGGAACAAAACATAAAATTGTTGAATTTGAAAGATAATATTCTAAAAATGAAAAGGATTTCAGTCGAGAGCCTATTGGACTCAATATTCAGTTTAAAATCGCTTTTCCGGCCTATAAATCTTCAATTGTTTCAAAACGAATAAAATAAAGTAGTTCTGTCTAAAACTAAAATAAATTTGCTATCTCGAAGTCCCCATCGATTATTTCCAAACTTTTCTTTAACGTCTTAGTTGTAAGTTTTATATTACATTTTCTTTAATTTGCTATTTCTGTGGAATCATTAATTTTCATTTGCATTATTGTTCTTCTAAAAAAGCGAAATGTGACTCACGTTTTGCTTGATTGGCTTTAATTTTTGAGATAGTCAACCAGTCAAAATAAAAAAAAATTCAAAAAATAATAAGACATTAATTTATTTATTTATTCAGTTTTGTCTGAGCTAACTGAAAGGCTGTATTCTATAAACAATGAAAAAGAGTGATTGTTGTTTTGAACTACTTAAAACATTTTCACTTGAACGGCGTGCGTGATTCAATTTAAAAATACTTTCCAGAATAAAACCACGTGTTACAGTTTTGACTTCATTTATTACTAAACAGCCAAGTCATATACAAAAACGTTAATCCAAAATCTAAATTAAAAGTAGTAACAAATAGCCTATCTACTAGGGTCGGTAACCAAACATATAAACAGAATGGGCGGATTTTGTTCATACTTAACATTATACTCGCGCACTGACACTTAACCTGGATTAAATATAACTGTAAATACTAATATTTTACAAACAAATATACTTTTCCAAACAGTGATAAATTATATAAAAAAGAATGTTTTTTTATAAGATTTTCTTTTATGTTCAAAGTTAGGACTTTATAATTATTGTGTCATTCATAGAATTCTGTACTAAATAAGAGCACTGATTTTGGAAATAAATTTTAACCATTTTGGCAAGTTGCTGAACCTTGTAACATTGCATAATGAAATATAAAGACTAACTGAATATGTCTGCCACAGATAGACCACTTGTAGGTCTATTGATTTCGTCTTGAGCTATTCCTAAAGAGTGAAGCTATTGAAAACTTCCTTTCAAGGTGATTTATTTCAACACTCAGAGCCAGCCGAGAGAACATTTTTTTCTTATATTCACGATCAACAGCCAAGATACATTTGAAAGTCGCTAATATATCCCTGTGACTATTTTTTTTTTAATTTGTTTTCCAGTGTTGATTGATTTTTCCCTGATTAGTGTGATTTTCTTGTTCCTTAACTCAATATCTTGCAAACTGTTGATAGCTTTGATGAAATTTTGTAGCAAAGCTTGTTCAAATTTTGAAAACTATAAAAATATTCAGCTATTTTTATGGTTATAAACTTTTCCAACACTTAGTCCAATTAGAGGTACTTAGATTACATGCAACATTTTCAGAAGCTTATTCCTTTTTTGTTTTGTACTTGGAACTTTTCAATTTATTTAAAACATTGGACATTGTTATAAGTTGTTATTAGGGATTCTTTGTTATTGTTTATATATTTTGACATAACCGCACATAACCAAAATATTGACCAAAGTCCTTAACCACTTTTTATCACCTTAATCCAAAAATTTTATTCGTACGGTTTTGTCAACTGGAATAAATTTTCATTATTATGTTTAATTTTTCATGTCTTTTATCATAAATTGTTATTTTTAAATAAATAAAGATGTTTTTAACTATAATAGGTAGGTGATAGAGGCCATGTGACTGAACGAAAAGAAGACGTAGATGGCGTATCTGCATAGCATTAAAAATTGACTACTTCATTAAATCGTCACTAGATGCCGCTCGAGATTGCATCCAACACTTTTTACTGTTGCATTATCCTACTATATTATCTTCATACAACGGTACAATCGTTGTATGAAGATAA